ATTTTCATTGGGGACTATATTATGCCAATTAACAATTGTGTCCCCTGAGACTACGATCCTTAGCCACCAGACCCAGCAATTCATTGCCTTAAGGTGTTTTGTAATATCTATTAAGCTTTCATCATATTGTTCCCTGTATGCACCACTACATTCGTAGGTATGTTTACAGCAAAGATATATACCCATGTGCAAATATCCTCTGTCACATCCTTACATATTTGTGGATATACTTCCCCTGCCCCGCCCATGCTGGTTCAGCCTTTGTATTTACCTGCAGAACACTGTTATTGCAGAGTTGTGCATATAACAGTATTTACCTCTAGTCTCTTTAACCCTTGCATTCCTCTCTATGACTTTCTTCACCTGTCTACATCATTCTTATGCCAACCTTCCTCTTGTTGAATATTGCCTTCTCTGTCACCTGAATTAATACATGTCTAACTTCTAGCCACCTGTCTTCCCTCCCACCCCTGGTAACCATTGAAGAATGTTTCTTAGCATGAAAATCTTGAGTTTTTACTCTAGTAGTCTCATATAAGGTCCTATTTTGGCTCTCATGCATTTGTTTTAATTTTCTTCAGTTTCAATCTGAACTTGAATATGAACAATTGATAGTCTTTCCAACAGTCTGCCCTGGCTTCATTTTGGCTGATGATACAGTTTCTTCATCATCTTTTCCCACAGATTCATTATAATATATGTGTATTCCATCTGGTGAGGTCCATGTATATAGTCTTCTTTATGTTGTTTAAAAAATGTATTTGCAATGCAGAAGTGATTAGTGTTGCAAAATGCCATCATTCAGCCTCCGGCATAGTTTCTATCACCAAGACCACATTTTTCAACTACTTATCCTTCCTCTTTGTTTCCAAATTTCACATTCCAATCATCAATAGTTATTAGTACATCTTGGTTGCATGTTTGATCAATTTTAGATTGATGAAGTTGGTAGAATCCTTCAGTTTCATTTTCATTGGCTTTAATGGCTAGTATGTAAACTTGAATAATAGCTATATTAAATGGTCTTCCTTGTAGACATATGGACAACAACGTACTTCAAGATAGATCTTGAAATGCTCTTGATGAGGAATGTTATGCCATTCCTCTTTAGTTTGTTATTCCCAGAATAA